CATCACATTAAAAATGCCATTAAATGTGAGTTAAATGCAGTGAGGCAAGACGTGTGTTTAGACATGGAAGGTGGGGGGAGCACTGTAGCCTGCCAGCACAGCTAGTGCTGTCACCATAGAAACCCATCTCAGGCTAGTTCATCAGGACAAAAACAGACCCCCCCCCCCCCCCCGACACACACACCATCACTGAACACATTACACATACAAGCATGCGTGCTCATAAAAAGGACACACAAACACACGCACACAGAGACGCAGTGCAGCAAACACAACATAATCAGAGAGGTCCATGTGACTGGGTGCTGTTGTTCATGATGTGCAGGTGACCATGTTAAGCATCACTTAGGCCCAGCTGGAGCAAGCAGGCCTAATAAGGGAGGACAAATCAAAATACAAAGAGGGGGGGGGCGAGGGAGAGAGAGGTATCAAATGGATGGTGTTCACACCTTTAAGAGGTTGGAAAGAGGAGGCTTTCCCACCCCATACAGAGCGGGATTAGCAGGTGTGTGTGTGTGTGTGTGCTTGAGAGAGAGATAGAGAGAGAGACAGGTCCGCAGGCTGTGCGCATCTGCAGTGTGAAAGAAAAACAAATCAGTGGATGAGATTGAACCCTCTTACCCCTGAACGTAAAAGCAAACGAAGGGTGGGAGAGAGACTGAGGGAGGGAGGAGAGGGAGGTAGTCGAGGCTGAAAAGGCACGGACACAGGAGTGAGGAGGGGAGAAGTTGCTGTGCTTCAGTTACTGATCAAATCTTGCTGCGCTTTTTTGGCTCAATATGCAACAGAAGCAACGGTTTGGTCAGGGACATACAGGGTCATCCTTCATTGGATGAAATGAAGAGTGTGTATGCGTGTGTTTGTGGACATTTGTGTGTATTTGTGTGGCTGTAATTAACTGCTAAGAGACTCACTGGGCTGTGTGTCAAATGGCCACTTCTCAGTCATATGACAGCCCTCAAAATAAATCTAACGGTACAGGTTCAGTTACACAATCACTCCAGTCTAACAACCATACATGCACAAAATACATACAAACACATACACACACACACACATATATATATGTGTGTGTGTATATGTATATATATATATATATATATAATGTGTGTGTGTGTGTATTAACAAAATTACTGACAAAATGATCTACATTTACATGTTTGAAAGGCAGAAGAGGCACAACTCTGACATGGTCAAAAGTGAATAATACAAAAAGAAAATTGTAAAAATACAAAATCAAACTGAAATCAATGATATGATTTCAGTGGGGTCATGCCCGGCTTTTACATTTTAGCAGAAAAGTTTACATTTACATACCATTATGTATGAATAAATAACACATCAATCTACTGCGGTGTTGTTACACCTTTTAACAACTTCTGTGTTATTGTAAACAGGAAGCTGCACCCATTTCTTGGTAAGACACAAACTTACATACGTGTACACTTTTTGTCAATGAGGTCAGACAACAACAGCTTAAACAGCTTGAAGGGAAACCCTGAAAAGGCTGGAGGATGAGCGTCTGACACGAACAGACACATCAACTGTTAACCTCCAAATTGCGGGGCAGTTTTCTTAACTGTGGCCACCCCAGAGCAGAGACCCCAATCCTGATGCTCATTTCCGCACAAACAATTTAGCCCTCTCCTCTGAAGTTCATACTAATGTAGATAAATCTAAAAACACTACTTAAAATGTCAAAAGATTTTTGTCGACAAAGTTGCTTACATAAGAAGTCTCCTGTCCACTGAAATGCCAAAACAATAGGAAAACACTTATATCTCTTGCACTGAGCAGACGCCGGCCTCTCGAGCCAGAACCTTTACGTCATTTCTACCAAACACAGTTCCACTGTTTCTGTACGGTTGTTTACCAAGGGTGAACATCGGGCTGTGCAGGAAGTCTTTTTGGACACATAGATAGAGCCCACATAAAGAAATATATCAGAATAATCCTTCTCACAATCAACTGAACACAGCCACTTTCAACTTGGACAGCATCTTCTTGATGGTCAAAAACAGGAGGAGGGACAAAATGAAGACAAAGAAAAAACAGATTTTCCAGTTTACTGACATTAGGACATGGACGTGGCCTCAGCCACTGTCTGATCCTGGCTGCAAAAGGCCCCCAAAAGACCCCTTTGTTGATCCCTGCATTACAGGCCTGGCTCAACATGGATTTTACTGTGTGAAGTCACCAACGGTTAAAATAGGGCAGATCCAAACAGCAACAAGGACTATCAAATCAGATTGTTGCACCATGGCGTAACGGCGCTCTCGGTGTGTTTGTCTGTGTGCGTGTGTGTGTGTGTGTGTATTTGTGAGATCCCCGCACTCAATCCATCCCCTCCCTACTCGACCACATTTCTGTGCAGTGAGCAGAGGTTTACATAAACAGTCACAGTTCTCTATCTAGGAATGGGAGTCAGACGGGAGGTCATCAGCTAAGCTGTGTATTAAAAGTGCAGCTCTGCCTATGACAGAACTGTAAAGACCAATACATATATTCCAATCCCTGACTTAATTTACAGCCTGGCATGATAATGTGTCGGAGATGAAGTGCTCCTTTGATCACAGTGAGAGGACAGATTGTTCTTCAATCACACAACCTGAAATTACTGTGAAGATCACTGTGTCTGCACTTTGTTTGCTTATTTTCTGAGACAAGTGCAGCAGCAGCAGCTAGAAGAGACATGAAAAAGCCAGGTTCATCACTACGCAGGTATCTTGGGAAAATGATAACCAACATCAATATTGCCACCAGCATTTAAAAGTGTGGCTGTAACAGAAAAGGAAGCCATTCGTGAGCCATATTTCAGACATCTTGTATTGATTCGTTTCTGACCGAAGTCTTCGGCTGGTCTCCAACAATCCCAACACAGTTTGACTAACCGTGGCCTCCAGAATGCACAATGAACATGACATGAAAGTATTCCTTAGCTTCGCAACACTTTTATTTCTACTTCACGTTCTGGTCATCTGAAACTCGGCTTACTTGTTTAGTCAACATGTTTAACAGGTTGCTTGCTGTATGTAAGGAGATTAAAAACTCTGCTGGCTGAACAGCAACCTAAAATAATAGCGTGAGTTTTACAGAACTCTGTCAATACATGGACAGGCTTGAATGCCTTCATTTCTCAGATCCTGGATCAATTCAGTGACAGTACTGTCTTCAGAATATGAGCGAACAATGGCAGTTTGTCGCTCAGTTGCAATGGACAATGAAGCTTCTGGTATGTTTAGCATCTTCTGTTGTATGACAGACTGCAATCCAAGTAAGATGTAACAGGGGCAAATACTAATCTTCCAGCCTTAACCATGCCAACACACAACGTAGACCTCACTTCTTAAAGGTAGAGCCTGTAGGATTCTCCAAAAAAAAAAAAAAAAAAACAAAGACTTATACAAAAGAAATCCTGCTTAATCATCAACTATGGGCAGACTCTAAATTGGTTGTCAATGTCAAAAACGCTCTGGGGCAGGATGCTCTTGAACCCCTGCAGTTATTTTTATGTTAGTTCAAAGCCTGTTGAGGACACTGTGATTAATAGTTGTCTCTCCTTTCCAAAGGTTGAATTTATGAAATCCTCTCAGTCTTTTGAAATGATCATAAAATGAATACAGTGTAAACTTAGTGCTGAAGTGTCTGTCAAGGGCAAACAAAAGTGAACACACAAGCAAACACACTACAGGAATGTATTTGCCTGTTTGCTGATCAAACTGTGAATTGTGGAAGTCAAAAGGTCAGGTTGTGTTTTTCATCCTCCACTTGGATTGCAGACGCACACAAGTGCCAACAAGATGGAGGGAAGTGCTTTTGCAAGTTCGGAGAAGTTCAAAGGGACACTTGGAAAGATAAGAGCAGAGGAGGAAACACTTAGGAAAGGCACCCCAAGAGTTAATTTCCTTTAACAGTGCATATTGCCTTCCTGGACAACACTCAAAATGCAACACACAGCTGGCGCAGCCTCCGTTCGCAGCCCCTATTGTTTGCTGTTGAACATGAACTACTCAAACATACAATGACAATCTGCAATCAGCGGTTGGGCTGCATTGTAAAAGTCCAATTTCTGTTTGTATATCATTAGACCAGGCGATACCATAAGTATTGCCTGTTCTAATAACAGGGTATGGGCACAGCACATAAAATAGCCATTACTGAAGCAAACATTCAACAAAAATTAACCTCAATTTAAATGTATATTTGAAAGGGTGACATGATTTCTAACTCTAAAAATCTATATTATGATCAACAAGATGCTAAGTCTAAACCTTCATGAGCGCTGGAGCATTATCTTGATTCTATAAAAGCCTACTAGAAGTTGTATAAGTGTGATATCATGACCCTGACCTGTTCCTTCATATCTCATCCCACTCTACACTCTACTAACCAAGTAATGGTTTCTGTCACTTTGGTGACAGGAACACCCAAACCTTCTTGTTACATGGTACAAAATTATACTGATTTCCAATTGCAACACAAGTACCTATTAAAGTCCTATTACAACTATTTAAATCTAGTCCAGGACAAGGATTCAACCACCATTGCCAAAACTGTTAGTCACATGCCTGCGTGCTGTGCCTGCTGATCACTAGTCTATTAATCAATTTGGACCACTGAAAATGAATTGCCAACTAATCAGATGATCAGTTCATGTTAAAGTCATTGTTAGTTCCAGCTTCTCAAACGTGAGGATTTCTTTTTCTTAGCACATCTTACATTATGGTAAATTCAATATCTTTGGGTTTTGGACTGTGGGCTGGCAAAACTGTTTGAAGCCTTTGCCTTGACATTGTTCTTTTCATTTTGTTGTCAACATTTATCATCGTAAACTACATATTGCTGCACAGAAATTCCATGTGTTTCAAACTGTCTGTCCAGGACGTGGTCTCTCCTCACTTTCAACTAAAAATGTTTCATTCAGGTCACAATTACCGGAAAAAAAAATTGGGATTCCCATTAAATATATTTGTTTCCGTCATTAGCTTCTATCAAATAGGGCGGCAGTGGCTCAGGAGGTAGAGCAGGTCGGCGGTTGGCGACCGCCAGTTGGTGGTTCGAATCCCGCTCTGCTCCGGTCGCTGCTGTAGTGTCCTTGGGCAAGACACCTTACCCACCTTGCCTTGTGTGAATGCGTATGAATGTTTGATGGTGGTGGTCGGGGTGGCCATTTGGTGCACACTGGCAGCCATGCTTCTGTCAGGCTGCCCCAGGGCAGCTGTGGCTAGGTGTGAATGTGGTATGAATGAGTAATGGTTTCTGTCATGCACTTTGGGTATCGATAAAAAAGCGCTATATAAATGTAAGCCGTTAGAAATAATGAATATCAGGTGATATTTCAAAATCTGCTTTTTCAAACTCTCAAATATTGATATTGGTCTTAATAACTAGTAGTATCAGTCGGACCATAATACTGAAACTAAGTGGTTGAGATGACTTCTCCTGTGTTGTTTGTTTTTGGAGAAAAACATGTAACATGTCCTTCCAAGTGTTAAGTAAGGGACTCAGCAGAGGAACGGTCTCTCTACATTGCAACATTGTTTGCCTCCTCCCGGTTCATTGTTTTCCTGTTTCAGGACACAGTGTCATGCATTTACGCTCTCTCATTTGATAACAAAACATATTGTAAAATTTGTCCATTTGATGAAATGGTAGTGTGGAGGGTCAAGGGGCCACTAAGGGGACAGGGGCTAGTGCTAATGGGCAGCCCTCTCCTGAGCCTGCTGCCCTAGTACACACTGTTCTCATACATGGTCAACTCCTCTAGAGACACACACACACACAGATACATGGAAAACATACATTACCCAGGAGCTGAGACATGAGATCCTGCAGACAGCACAGGGTGTCTATAGTACATACTTACATGTACACACACACACACACACACACACACACACACACACACACACACAGGCACCTACATGGTGGGCCACTTCAAACACATTCCACAACATGCACAGCATTGTCAGAAAATGCCACTGTGCACTTCAATGAAGAGAGTCTGACTATCCAAATGAGCTACAGACAAACTCACACAAATGAAGGGCATCTCCACTATCCTTCATTTTCTAAATCAACATATCACTCCACCAAATGAGTTGGAATAGCACAGCTATAGGATAACTAAATGCTCCTGAATATGGAGGAGTGTAGTGCTGTGGGAATTTAATTCAGATTGTCAGAGTAGGAAGTTCTTGTGGCTTTGATGAAGTCTATATGACAGAGCTAGTTAAAGAAGCACATACTGTGGAAAGCAGCACATACATAACACACATGCACGCTAGCCACTTCCAACAGAGCTGCGCTTACAAGCCTGAGAGGAACAAGAAGGGGGCAAGGCTACCAGTTGCACAACTTGTTTTTCACGAGTTATACCAAGAGACAGCTCAGTGGTTACTTCAGAAGACTGTTTGCTGATAACTATGACAAACAGCCCAATCAAACTCAACTAACAACAGCCTGTAAAAACTGCCTCAGAACATTCTCCAGAGTGCAGTCAGCAGATCACAGCCACAGCAATGGTTTATGTATCAATAGTGCTTCCCCTTTCCCATGACTGAGGTGGACATGTCAGGCAGTGAGTGGAGTCAGAATGAAGTATTCAAAGTATTTTGGTTGTTGCCCCCCCCCCCCCCCCCCCATCGTAAACATCTCAACAGTGCCAAATATGGTCACTTCCCAGAGAAATGAGTGTATGAGGGACCAGAAACAGTCAATGACATGTACTCCCTGGAAGAAAGAAAGAAAGAAAGAAAGAAAGAAAGAAAGAAAGGAAGAAAGGTAACAGGAACATTGTCTCATGAGACCCCCTTTCAGGGGCCTCTGTTCTGTCTGCATACATAACCTGTGTAGAGAAGCTAGATTTCCTTTCAACCTTCCACTTTTAAGTTATGCAACTCAAAGTCTGATTATCTACAACGTCCTACTAAATTCCCATGTTAATGTTTATAGCATGATTAATGGAATTGATTTTTTTTGCCCTAAACTCAAACTACTCTACATGCCCACTTGCTCTAGACTTAGTTCATGTACTGAAACAATTTGTGGGCTTGTGCAAGACATCATCCAAAACACAAATCTCATAAGGGCAATTGTAGGCCAAAGGTTAAAGCACCGAAACAAGTGAAATGTAAATGAATGGATTTCATAACAGTTGTGTTGCAGTATTTCTCTGTGTTGGGAATATGTTTTTAATATGTAGACATTCATTCATTCAACCTACCATAACACCACAGTGATAAATAACCACATGGTCTTGTATGGAACAAGACGATCCACCTTCACACTCCTATTCTGTCCTACTGCCAGTCTAGCCATTTTATCCATATTAAAAGGACTAGAACAAGAAGATGGTAAAGATTTAGCTTGCACACAACATTCACTGACACAAAACGTATTTATAAGTTATCCCTGCAGTCAGGGTGCCTCAATAAATAATAATAATAGTCTCGACGTTTATGAACTTTCTGCAGATAAAAAGGGTGTGAAGACTATAAACTACATTTCTGCTTCAATTCAACCCAACAACGATCGCGTCAGTTGAAAATAAATCCCTTATTAGTCCAATAATATAACTATTATGACGAGGTCAGTGGGCAGTTTACAGGGGAATCACCACCACCATCTCTCTCTCTCTCTCTCTCTCTCTCCGTCTGGCAAAGCATCACGGTACTGTTTAAGTCACACGCTGTTATACTATTATAATCCCAACCCATAATTCATTGATGAAAACACACCACAAGGAGCAGGCATCGTGTATCAGAGAATGTGGCCATACTTGAGTCCGATCTGGGGCTAAAGACCAATGTAGGCTAATCCACCACCTATAAAGAGACTTCTTAGCGTCGGCGGCTAATTTGTTTACGTTCAGGGCTGCAGTAGCAGCAGCAGCGCCGTGCACGCGTGCTGCGCGCGCGCGCGCGCGCGCGTGTGTGTTATTGTTGACAGTGTGTGTCTGTCGCCATGAGAGGCCTAACTGCGCTCACAGGGCCAATCCTGCTACTCCCAGTTTAGACTCGCTGCAGCAGACCACCCTCGTCCAGTTACAGCGACTAATCTGGCCCTGGGGCTGGCGCATCCAACGCAGGCCGCTAAAATATGTACCTTTAAGAGACAGCACCGCGAGGGGGTGTTGTTTTTTTGTATTGGGGGGGGTGGGGTCTACTGAGGAATATCAATTATTAGCGCGCAGCCACGCATACGCAACAACTGAAACGACTACCCCCTTAATTAGATCCTGTATGAAACTTCACGCATGCGCCAATATGAAGGTCTCGTGACTTTGCTACCACCTTAATTAATAAGATAAAGTCAATAAAATATTCATACTATATTTTCCAAGCTCCATTATCTCCATAATGTGGGATCGGGGTCTTAAGCTGCTTCAGTTAATACAAAGTTACTATACAAAGTTAATATACTATAAATATTCTCCTTGTGATTAACAGCGTCTATTGACCTGCTTGTTACGCTGGTGGTTGTCTATCATATTGTATCCTCGTGTAATGATGACATTTTGAATTACAATAATGTAAAGAGTTGTTTAATTAAAGTTAGCCAATCTCTAAAGTTGTTGTGTCACCATCTCAGGTGGCATTAGGTGCAGCTGGAGACAGTGAACTTGGATATGATATATGTGACATGACAAACACACATCTATTTTACTCAGAGGGAAGAAATTAGGAAAAAAAAAAAAAAAAAAACTTACTTTCTCCATTTGTTAGTCCACACTGGCATATAATGCAGGTGCAGATGATAAAAAACACAATTTGTGCTCGCAGCTTTAGCGTCCACAACCTCATTTTGACTTGAGGATAAGTTGTGCTCTCCTCTTGAAGCCTCTCAAAAAATAAAAATAAACTCCAATCTTGAGGCAGAAATGATATTTCAAAAGGCGCTGGGATATCAAGATAAAAAATAATAATAATAAAAAAAAATCTTAAAAGTCAAGGTCCAATAAAGACAAGTGATTCAAGGTTGCCCCCCGAGCGGGGGGGTGGTGGTGGTAATAAATTTATGAGTATCTTCCCAGCCAAGTCTGTGATGTATGTGAGCCTTGGAAAAAATGCAGACCACTAAATAACGTGATCCTGGGTTCTGGTAGCACACGTGCGAGTGAAAATCTTCATTGTCCATAAGTAAAGGCGCCAGTCCACGTTCATCTGTTTAATTTTGGTGCTACACTGCATCAAGAGAGAAATAATAGTATTATTATTAATATCCCACACGCAGAGGGCTAGTTTGGAGATCCCCGGAGGAGGTCCATTGGCCCCGGGCTCATTTCTCTGTAATGCACTGTTCCAGTGAGGGAAGACCCACTTCAAAAACAAATTGCAAGGAGTATTTTCTTGTGCACAGCGTTAACACACTCCTCCTCTGTTCCTCCAGCCAACATGGGCCCTGAAAGTTGTGGATATCGCCCAACACAGAACTAAGAATGGGAGTTGGCAGGCTTTGCGCTCTCTCTTTTGAAGTCCACAGGTCTTTGAATTACTTCTTCTCGCTGGTATCTTCTCAGAGGCTCACCCTTTTTAAGACAGATGGGAGCACATCCCAGGAAACTCCTCCGAGCAGCTACGTGCAGGAAAAACGTGCAGCGATTCAGCTTTCCCTACTACGACCCTCCTCTGAACTCCTTCACCCCCGCTGACCACCACGCCGCAAACGAATGAACACCCAGAAAACGACAAACGGGAGAAAGAAAACAAAGAGGGAAAACTTGGGAGGTGAACGCTACTTCTTTCTCCATCCACGGTGGGGTCAAAAAAAGGGAACAAAAACAACGGCTCTCCGTTTAACCTGCAGTGAAGTGAGAAAACTCCTCACCACGCCGCCCGTTCCTTTTTCTCAGATTAACGTTAGCTGATGGGGAAAACAGCTAACGTTAGCTAGCTAATCCAAAACAAACGAGGTTTCAGTGTCGGCGGTAGAGTTAAAAAATGAAAGAAGAAAAACCACACGCGCTTAAAAGTGAGTATCCCGTCTTCGACAGTCAAAAAAGGATGAGGTAAACAAACAGAAAAAAAGACTTAAAGAAGACGGGTCAAGTGTAAAAACTTGGATTCCCGTTCCGTT